GAAATGCAAGACACTTTTTCAGGTCTGAGAAGTGAAAGACAGCACAGTGTAGTTGTAAGGACAGAATTCCCAGGGGTAGCAAAAAACAATTAGCAGAAGAAAAGGAACCGATTAATCAGAAATTAATTTCAAGCATGCAAAGAATTCAGAAATCAGGTAGGTTATAATGTGCCATAAAACCAAAACTATAAAATTGGTTGTCAAGGGCATGTAGATGAAATGGGGACCCTAAATTGAAGCCGTGGGTTTTAAAAAATTTTAAACCCCCGTGTCATGCACACACCCGAACTTACCTGCCTCTCCGGCAGCGGGGAGAGCGAGCTGCCGGCAGGCGGAGTGGTCCTTGGGTTGTGGTGGGGCTGGTGCTTCCCTCTGCAGCAGCAGTGGCCCCTCCCCAGGTGGCACCTGCTTGCAGGCACCCAGCTCAGGCGGTCCTGGGGGGGCACCGCAACCACAGAGGGAAGAACTGGGCCCCCATGCAGCTCAGGCAGGCAGGCAGGCTCCAGGGGGAAAAAAATAAAAAAATCTTGGGCAGAGCCTGCCTTCCCATGCTGCTGCCAGGCTGCCTGCATGGGCTTCCTGCAGAGCTCCTGAGCTGCACAGAGTCCCGTGCTTCGCTCCACGGCTGTAGGGCAGCAAACTAAAACTCCTCCTTGGAGTTCTAGTTTGCTGTGCCCTAGGTCATTTAAGGTGCATTACACTACTGAATTTGCTACAGTGGCTGGAATTACTGTGCAATATACCACCGATCTATGCAAACACCACCATTAAAGCGGTGCAAAACCCACGTTGTGCACGCATGGTCCTTGTTTTGTCTACATATAGCCCAAAGTGCTTATATAAGTCGTATTTTTCGAGAGATCAGGCCCCTGAAAGCACTCTATGGCTGTGACGTAACACATATTCACAGCTGTAGAGTGCTTTTAAAATGGCTGATGGCATGAAAAATAAAACCTCATTAAATCACTTATTAGCTGAAGGCGCTCCAGAGCAAAGAGCCTTAGCAAACTTCTGTTCAGGGTCCATGTGAGGGTTAAGTGCGGGCAATTCTGCTTACATCCCATGCTCCAGGTCCACCACAGAAGAGACAAAGAGTCTCCTCCCTGTGCAGTGGGAAAGGGGAAGGAGAGATGAAGGAGGGAGGTTGGGGATGGTACCCCTTAACCTGTTCCTGCTGGGAGCTGGAGAGGGGCAAGGATCCACCCCACAAGTCTGGCAGACTCCACCCCCACCCCAGCTCCTGGCATGATCATTTTGACAGCAGCCCCAGCACGGCAGCAACAGCTGCTGTCTAGAACTGGCACCTGGGGCAGAGTTTGAATCCCCCACATTGGGGGCTTTCTTGGGAGGTGGTGCCATCAGGCACCGGATACAATCTCCCAGGGTGAGGGTGCTGGTCAGGGCCACCTGACTGCTGATTGCAGTGCTGCCGGCTGATGTCTGGCTGTGCCTGTAGCCTTGCTCCCACACCTGCCCAGAGACAACAGCAGCCTAGGCTGGGATTCCCTGTGAGTGGGAGCTCTCTCAGGGGGTGTGCACCCCCCAAAGCAGTGCCACTAGGCATCAGGAACACTCTCCGGGAGAAAGTGGGCCCCCACCCCTGATTAAGGTGCTGCTGGCTGCTTTTCAAGCACCAACAGCCGGGATGGCAGGTTGAATCCAAGCTCCAATGCTGCACAGGCCTGGCCCAGCAACCCCTGTTTGGCTCTTGGGGAGGTGCCAGTTCATATTTAATATACCCTCCCCAGCTACTGGGGCAGCAGCCTGGGAACCCGCCCCTGCCCCCCACCTCATTCTTTCAAACAGCGGCCAATTTGAAAGAACCTGGCAGTCAAAGCAAACAGCACACCCAGTTGCACTGTGGGGGGAGGGCTCTCTTCCTAGAATGCTCTCCTTTCCAGCACACATAAGGACAGCCAGGGCAAATGCACACACAAGCCCCCACTGTCCTCTCACTGTGTGTCCTGGCCATCCTGCACCATGCCATGGCATCCCACTTCCTGTGCCCAAGCAGGAACACCCAGGAACTGTGGCGAGTCCTGCTGATTGCTCTGCATAACTCTTACTACAGGAAGCCAGACAGCACGCACATCCAGCTGAACCTGATGCGGCAGCAGGTGGCCCTGGCATGTACCCTCATGCCAACAAGCACAGAGCTATCAGTCGTGCCTCTTCACCACCCCGACCCACTGAGCATCCTCAACTGCGCCTCCAGGTTCCTCCTGGCCCAAGAAGATCAGGCCATCCTGGATGCCATGAACGCTGAGGTGCTCTGGGATTACCTTTAGGCTACTGAGCACAGGGTGTGGGCCCACCCCACCAGCACTGACTGGTAGGAGCAGATCATCCTTGGCACCTGGGAGGATGAATTGTAGCTCTGGACCTTCCACATGTGCCAAGACATAGCCACCCAGGTGGCCCCCCACATCACATGCCAGGACATTGTTATGCAGTCAACTCTCAGTCTGGAGAAGCAGGTGGCCATCGCTGGCAGTCTCTACTACACTGCCAACCAGTTTGGCGTGGACAGGGCCATGGCTGGAGAGGCTGTCCAGGAGGTTTGCCTGATCATCCAGGACATCAAACTGCTTTATCTGCCTCATCAACCCCCAGGAGGTGGTCACTGGCTTCCAACGCATGAGCTTCCCCAACTGTAGGGGCCAGGGATGGCGTACACTTCCCAACTGTCTGCCCACCCCAAGGTGCCTGGGTACTCATCAACCACAAGGACTACTTCTCAGTTGTCCTTCAGGGTATCGTTGACCTTTGGGGCTGCTTCATCCACATCTACGCTGGCTGTGCAGGCAGTGCCCATGATGCAACCTGATGGAGGGTGGGTGCTATATTCCCAGACTTCCTGATTTCATCACTGGCAACATCTTAATCCCCCACTCATCATCAGTGACCCAATTTACCCCCTCCAGCCCTGGGTGATGAAGCCATATGGGAGTCAGCTGGACTGCCCGAAGGTGCACTTCATGGGACACCTCCTCAGGCAGTAGTTGGCGGTGGAATGCACCTTTGAGCACCACAAGTCACGTTGGCAGGCTCTCGGTGCATGCCTCAAAGTGGATGAGGAGAACCTGCTGCGACTCGTTGCCGTGAGTGTCCTCCACAATATCTATAAGACCAGAGTGGAGGTATTCCATGAATGCTGAGCAGAGGAGGCATGGTGCACAGCCTGAGTATGTCAGCATAAGCACACATAGTGCAGGGATAGGGCTGAGGGTCAGCCCTCCACAACTGTTGGAGGCCCTGGCACTACTCAACAGCAGGCTGGCTGTATCCATGAAGCCCTGGTATGTTTCATAGTTTCATAGTTTCTAGGGTCGGAAGGGACCTGAGCAGATCATCTAGTCCGACCCCCTGCCATGCAAGGAAAGAGTACTGGGGTCAAATGACCCCAGTAAGGTGGTCATCCAACCTCCTCTTAAAAACCCCCAGGGTGGGAGCCTGCACCACCTCACTTGGAAGCTGGTTCCAGACCCCAGCCGCCCTGACCATGAAGTAGCGCCTCCTGATGTCCAACTTAAACCTTCCCTCCGCCAGCTTGTGACCGTTGTTCCTGGTCACTCCTTGCGGCGCTCGGGGGAACAGGGACTCCCCCAGCGCCTGCTGATCCCCCCTAACCAGTTTATAACAGGCCACAAGATCCCCCCTCAGCCTTCTCTTTTGAAGGCTGAACAGGTTCAGGTCCTGCAACCTTTCCTCATAGGACCTACCCTGCTGTCCCTTGATCATGCGAGTGGCCCTCCTCTGGACCCTCTCGATGCTGTCCACATCCCTCTTAAAGTGCGGCGCCCAGAACTGGACGCAGTACTCCAGCTGCGGCCTGACCAGTGCCACATAGAGGGGGAGGATCACCTCCTTGGACCTGCTTGAGCTGCATCTGTGGATGCACAACAAGGTCTGTGGATGCACGACAAGGTACCCCATCACCAGCATTCCCTCTAAGCTGCACGGTGTGCACAGCCACGCAGGTGCACTCATGCCACACACCACGCAGCTTAGAGGGAACACTGCTCGTCACCTTTGTGAACTGGGTGGCCAAGAAGTAGGGGCGGTTGGTTTCACATGACCCTGCATTGGCACCAGGCTGGTTCTCTAGTTCCTAGGCCACAAAATAGGGTTCACAGGAATCCAGTGTAAAGAAGGCACAGCCTCATTTTATAATGTTGAAGCTGCAAAACTCATTTTTATTAATAAAGAAAACCTGCTGAACACTGTCTGTGACAGAACATGTTCTTTCCCTTTTCCCAGTTCACACCAACTGGGGAAACTTTGAAGGGAGTGAGGGGAGGTAGGAAATGGAGAATGGCCATGATTGGGTTGGTTAAGACAGGGAGTGGGCACAATAAGAGGGGGTTGTGCTAGGGGCCTTTGGCACAGGGCTAGAACTGAGGGAAAAAAGAACCATGGATAGGAAGCACTAAGTATGGGGGCTTCTCACTTGAGACACTAAGCCCTGTCCTGGCTCTCCCTCAAGGGACCTTTTGGCCCTTGGCCCATGCCCCCAGGACTCAGTCTCCCTTTTCCAAGTCCCAGCAGCCTGTGGAGGGTGAATCTGTTCCAGTGACAGCCTGGCCCAGCAGTCCAGTGGGTTGAGCTGCCCACCTTGATGCACTTCTGTGGCCCTTCAGGGCTGGTCTGAAACTGCTCTGTGGGGCCTGTACCTTCAGGCTGGAATGCCTGCAGCCAGGGGCAGGGGTGAGGGGGGGGAAGTGGGTGGAGCCAGGAAGGGCACTGTTGTCCCTGATGGCCCCAACATTGGGTCTCTAGCAGCCTGATCCCCTCACTCACTGCAGCACCCTGGGCTAGACAATATTGGATGTCTTTGTCCAGGGACCTTGGCACAGTGGCTTTGACATGCCTGTCTTGGGGCCTCTTGGCTCCCCACCATCTCCAACTCAGGGTGCATGGGGACCATTCCCCCACTAGGCCCAGCTGAATATCCCTGCCATAAGATCTCTGTTCCTGTTGCCCCAGGAAAGTGTCCTTACGGTGTGGTTTGGTATGTTGTGGGGGACTGGGCATGAGTCAAGGGGGTCAGATGTGGACACCAAGCAGTTCAGAATCATGTGCATGAAATTTCTTTCCTGGTACTGCACCTTGTTGAGCTCTGCAGCGACATGATTTGCCTCATCCACACTGTAGGTGGCCACCTCAGTGGCCTACTCCTATGTCTGAACAACCCTTGTGTAAGCTGTGCCCAGCCTACCCATTTCCCTCCTCCACATCTCTAGTCTCTCCTCATGCTGGACCTCCAGTTCCTGACACCAGGAGTCCACGGTGTGCACCCAGAGATCACAGGCTGTGACTGGAGATTGTAACATTTCCAATTTACTCCCTTGCTGTTGGCTCCTGAAATTTCTCATGCACTCATCAGATACTTGATTGGTCGGCTGGCCTTTAGGAACCATCCAGTCCACTGTGAACCAGCCTCCCATGCACAGATGTGGCATCTGCAGACAAGGGAGACACAGAGCCTTTGTGTAAGTTTGAAACTTTCAGTGAAAACAATGTATTATGAAGAAAGGTTTTTTTGGACCCTCTCATCACTCCACACAAACATGCCTAGGGAGCTATGGTGAGTTCTCTGCCGGTACCCAGGTTCCCCTCCCCCAGGGCCAGTGCCCCAGCTGTGGTGTGGCCAGGCAGGCAGTCCAAGGGTGAGGGAAGTAGAAGGCTTGGTTGAGAAGAAGGGTCTGGAAGTGACATGTACCATAAAAGGAACAGTTCAGGGAATCATCACTCCATGGAATGCTGATGTGGCTCTTAAAACATTCCCTTTCCCCCTCCTTCCCTTTCAGGATAAGTGTTTCAGTGCTAGGTCCCTGTGGGAGTGTTGTGCCAGTCCTGATGGTCCTAACACTACTTGGTTGAGACCCAGCTGGGATGATGGGCTTCTCACACCTCCTCCCTCACCCATACCTCTGTTTCAGGAGTGGCGCTTGAACCCCATACCCCTAGCAACACACTACTATGCTCCAAACATTCCCTGGTGACAGTCAGCCAGGCACAGAGAAATTAGCTTTTCCAGCTTGCTTGGGGGAGCACCGAGCACCAGCCACTATGCCATGCTCCTACTGATCAGCACGGTACCCCAAGTGCATCTTGACAACTGAAGATGGGCCTTTGATGGCGCCCCAGGAAATCCTGGTGAGAATCTACCTGCAGTGGTACCTGTGACTCCGCTATGAAGTGCTGACACTCCAGGATGAGTTCACGACCTCCAACAATATTGATGGTCTACTCAGCCTGTGACCTGTCCAGAAGGATAAATCCCAGAAGCCTGGCTTACTAGTAAGAGTCCTGCCAAACATTGCCCTTGTCTTTCCAGCACTGTTTCTCTACTCTGGGAGGGTTGGGGGTGGGGTTGGTTTGCTGTTTGGGGTAGGGGGAGGCATTTGCCCCAGGGCCAGGATGGGGCCATGACTGATGAAAGAGGGTTGCCCTGAGGGGTCTGTGCAGTGACTGTCTGCACTGTGATAATCACCACCAACCAGGCTCCAAATGACTTTACACATGGATTGGATAAGAGGGGAGTGTTAAAAGTGCAGAGATGCCTCCTGACAGGCTCTGTGGGTGCAGAACCAGGGAGCCAGGCTCACCACAGGAGTGGAGCAGCAGATTTCACATTTTCAGTGCAGGAATCCTGCCATCACGTGTGTCCCTGTTTAGGAGTTTGGAGACAGGCTGAAAGGGAGGGAGGAAGATAGAATGGTGTGCTTTTGAGGAAAGAGGGTAGGTTTTCTCTTTCTTGCTATGCTGAGGCTGCCTGTTCTCTGATATCTGACAACATTTTACATATTGCCTGCAGTGCTCAATAAATGCTTTGACTGCCTTATCCATTGCTGGTGCAGCTGGTATTCTCCTTGCTTCTGCTAGGAACTCACAGTGCCCATGAGAGCAAGCCTGAATGTATAGCAATGTGTTAACAAACAGGCAGATGTATGTTCCCGTTGAGTGAAAGGAGCTGTTAACTGTCCTAGCCTTGACAGTGCTGTAGGGTTTGGAGGGGGAGGGAAGAGCAGAGGTGGAGGGGTGATCAGTGCTCTGCTCTGTGCTGAAAGGAAAAAAAAACAGCGCTTTTCTATCTGGGAGGGGAGTGGGAGAGCTGATGGCTGCTCAGTTCAGTGCTGAAAGAAAAACAACTCCCTTACTTTGCTATTTGGGAGGGACGGAGGCAGAGGAAAAACTGCTATGCTTAATGTTGAAAGAAAAAAATGCTTATTGCATTTTGCTGTCTGGCCTGCCTCACTGTGCATGGGCAACTGTGGGACACACACACAAACACACAACACAATTACCTACACCCGTGCCCCAAAAGACTTGATGAGACTCTGGTGTGACCATAGGGCTGGCTGGAATCGGCTGCACATGCCACCATTGGTCCTTTCCTCTCTACCCCTCCCCTTCTCCCCCGAGTCACTGCATGTACCTACCCTGGGCCACAGGGTCCTCCCAGCTGTGTGGAGCTGTGACTAGTCATACCTTCCACAGCTGATGGGCATCCTTTCTCTGAGCCAGAGTCATCAGGACACAGGTGAGGAAGGCTGGTCATGGGTTGCTCAGGCTGTTGCCTCTGTGTGGGGAATGCTGTACTGAAGCCCATGTCCTTGGCCATCAGTTGCAAGGTTGAGGTCTGGGGTGGGCTCCTGTGAGGTGAAGGGCACTTCTCAGGAATTCAGGTCCTGTGTCTCAGTGTCTATGATGTCAGTGCTCATCTCCTCCTTCTGCGCAGCACGCTCTGTGGTCTTGATCATGGTCAAGAAAATGTCCTGAGAGCAGATTTCCAGCTGCACTTGGACTTCCATTTTCACATCCTTAGACGAAGTGGGGACCAGTAGCAACATGCTTGTCTCCTCAGGGGCAGGCAGCAGCAGCTGTGCTCTTCCACTGTGGCCCCTGGGAATCCCTTCCTGGGCATCTGGTTGTCCCACCATTGAGGGGTCTTCCATTACCTCCTCCTCATCCAAAGGGGTCTCCGGCATCAAATCCTCCTGCCCCACCCCCTATGGTGCCACGGGCGTGTGGGGTTTCGATGGCCCTCTCCTTGGGGATAACTCCTAGTTAAAAGAGCACGGTGTGCTGTCAGGCCCCAGACTTCTTGTTTGCTTCATGTATGCTGCTAAACTTACTCCTCATCAACTTGGTTTTGGCACTGCACTGCACCCAGTCCCTGTTGTTAGGCCACGGGCATCTGGTAGATGTGCATAAAGATGTCCCTGTTGCAGTTCCTTTTCTGTAGCTGACACTGGATCTTTTTCTTGCTCCAGACAGTGATGAAATCCCTTATTTCCCCATGCTCCCAGTTATGACCATGGATTTGGCTGCTGGAAGGGGCTGGTCTGTCCACAGCCGCAATTTTGCCAGTGGGTTCTCGACAATAGCTGGATCAGGGTCTGGCTGTTATAGTAACAGATGCAGGAGTCAGTAGGGATGCCTGGATGCCTGATAAAGTGCCAGGAAGAAGGATTGCTGGAAGTAGCATAGGACTCAAAAAGGTGTGGGTCCCAGCATGTGCCTACTCCTCTACCAGCAGCTGTGTAAGGCCCCTCCTCCAGTTTTGACCAGTTTTGTCTTATCTACTGTACTACATTCATGCAGCTGGGCACATCCTGCCTGCTTCACAGTGGCTGATGGCTACCCCTCCCGACCCTTAAAAATTATCCCGGCCCAGGTATACCCTGGCAGGGAGCATCCCTGGTGTCCAATGGCACTGCTTGGGGGTGCCCACCCCTTGAGAGCCACCACACATAGAAGAATCCCTGTCTCCAGGAAGGCAGGGGAACGAGGTCAAGCCAGCAATCACCCGGTAGCACCACGACTGGGGGTGGGTGGGCCCTGGCTGGTACCCTGTCCCCAGAGAGAGTGTCTCCAGTGACTGATTCCACTGTTCCCCCACATGAGAGGAATCCCAGCCCAGGCAGCTGCTGTCTTTTGGTAGGAAGGGAAGCATACCACCAGGCACAGCTGGGAATCAGCTGGCAGAAACATGATTGGGGATGAGGGGTGTCCTGGCCAGCTCTCAGAGCAGGCTACAGCATCCCCTGCCTCCTGGCCTTGGTCAGTGCATCAAGACTCCAAGCCCCAACCAGACACCAAACATCTGTTGCTTTCGATCATACCGTAACTTTTTTGTGCTTACACAAAGTGCTTAAAGTTACAGCATGATCAGTGTGCCTTTTGATAAATTCTGTAAGCACCCTTAGTGTCCATCCAGCCTGTGCATTTTTGTTCCCAAGTTTGCCCTTTAAAGGTATGAGGTAGACTTCCTTGAGCATAAGGACAGCGAGGTCAGAAAAGGAGTGGTTGTTCCTTTAAAAAAGTGTTCCTCATGGTTTGTGTGTCTCTCCTTTATATTTTTTCTGTGAAAATTCATTCTGATGCATAGTGGCTGTTTAGCTGCTGTGAGGGCAAGTGGTACACTTGATCAGTTATGTCACATTTTGGGGAAAGCATGTGTAGGAACCACGGATTCTGATGGCTTCATTATGGAGAGTGCTAACTGTAGTGGCAGTAGAGATGTGTTGATAGGTTACAAGTTCCTTGCTAATTCAAGGCTGTCTCACTTGATGTCTGTTGGTCTGTTCTTAAGATGTACACAGACTTAGACTTTGTCTTAGGGTGCAGACAGAAGTGACAATTTTAACCCGATCTGGCCACAGAAAGCAGTTTTTTGCTGTGACCAAACACAAGTACGTGGCTGCAGACAGCTTAAAAAATGGCAGATTGAGTGAAAATCTGACCCCCTGTAGAGGGACCCAGGACAAGTGGCCACTCCAGGGTACCGCCCGTGTGCCACATGCTCAGTGGGTGTTTAATGACTCTATTTTTGTACCTTTCCTGCCATGACTTAGGGTACCACTTCCTGATATCCTTAATAGGTACACAATCATCTAGAGTTCATTGATACTGGTGCAGGTCATGATGTCCAAGAGTCTTCTGTGAGGCTCAGCCTTCCCTACGCCCCACCCCTTTCCACTCAGATGTTCCATTGGTGACTGAAGTAGGCACCTGGCCTTCTGAGGCATCTGGCTTCCTCTGCTAAGCAGAAGGGTCTGTGAAGGAAGAAAACTGAGCAGCCTGGGGTCAGCATGACTGGCTGAGCCCATGGTAAAGTTCTGGGGTCAACAGCATCCAGCTCGTGTAAGAAAATGAATGAACTAATACAACTTAAATAATGGTTTCTGAGACTACTTCAGGCCTTGCCTTGGCCCAGCAATATACCTTGGCCGCCTTTCTCCAGGCAGTTGGGGCTCTTTGGGGTTTGCTTCTTGATATGATCTTAGTCTACACAGGCTGGCCTGCTCCAGGCCAAGTTCTTCAGGTAGTTGGGGGCCACAGGTACTATGAACCTCTATGGGAACCCCATGGGGTCCAGCAGGATGGTCAGGGTTCTGTAGGGAGGGCCAGTATCAAGCTGGTCCTGGATCACAGGTCTTCAGCTCTGGTGTAGGGATGTTGCATGGGCCAGTGCCTACCCTGGCCCCTCTTCTGGGGCTGGGGCTGCTTTATGCAGGAAGTTCTGGGTTGGCCTGCCCCCAGTGTGTCTTGTGGCTGCTGCCAGGTGTTGAGAGCCCCAGAAGGGCTTATCAACTCCTTCACCTGCAGCTTCCA